ATTTATTTCACAAATGAACTGTCACATATTTATTTTGACAGCCCTGGATATTTCGTCTCCTCGTCAGTGCCAGTTCATGACATCGCACTGAAGATGCCATACAGAGGCCACACAATGCTCCTTTTGGGTGTAACAACAACACCAGAAGGATGTGTTCTGTAACAGCTGCAGTGAAAGCAGTGGGAGCTGAACACATGCACATGTGGGAACCTGCCTGACGCATGCCAGGAGGAACGACACACTCAGTAAACACAGTCAACACGACCACCAAGTGTGTGTGTGTGTGTGTTCCAGAAATGATTAGTTTAAACTTTTCAAATATGTTCCGAGGCCGTTTGGACTCTGTCCCACGACAGCTTTTATGTTTTGTGTTTTTTGTCACGGCGCTGCCACAGTTCACCAGATCCAATCTCGCCAAACTTTTTTAGCAAGAGCCTTTGGGCTAACTTTTAGCTGTTTGGAGGAACTTATGTATTACTAGTTGCTTAAGAAGTTCTTAATATTGTATGTCTTGACCGATTTTGTTCCGTAGCTTTGAGATCAATTTAGCAATTTGCTAATCTTTAGCTGTTTTTTTTTGTATAAAATGTAACACATTTTTAGAGAAAGAAATGATTTTTTTTTCTTACTAACACTTATAGCAGTTATATAATGTACTTTATGTAACTACATTAAGGAAAACTACCAGTTATTTTGCGCTACAAACTCAGTTCCTACATATGTTTGGCTAACTTTTGACTTTCTAAAGCTAACTTTATTTACTGCTTTATCACAGAATTTCTTATGCTACGTAACTGTATTAACAACTTTTCAATGCTTCTCTCATACGTGTTATGCTAATGTTCATGTTAACGTATTAGCAACATTATTTAAATAAGTTTAACTTTTTTAATATTTAGCTACTTTTTCACAATATCTGCTGTGGCTCTTTTTTGTTAGCATGCTATTTCTTTGGCTAACTAACTGCTATTTCTAAGAAAACTCTTTTTTTGAGCTAATTCCCGTGTTTGTCTTAACTATTGCTGGCTAACGTTCAGCTATTTTTGATTTACAATAATGGGTGATTTGGGGTTATTTTCAGGTGAAACAGCTGAACTAAATTATTACAAATTGGCCTTAACTTGTTTTGTCTCCTCAAACAACATTTTAAAAACGGTTTATCTCCACTCAAACAATGTTATGACAAATGTTGAGTAACCCAGATGCAGAGTTTTAGAGTTGTTGCAGAGAAAAATCCCAGGTTTATTGGCACTGTTACACCTTGGATTAATGCCATGTTTGAATAATTTCGCTGGAACTCTCACAGGGCTTGTTTCCTCCACTTATCTCGGCCCTATATGCAGCTGCTAGCCCTGTGGGCTACCTCACAGGCCTGTTCACAGCTCAATGCTATGATTCGAGACTTAATGGGCCACGGAGCAAAAATGACTCCTGACCTGTGTTTCTTTAAAGTCAGCAACTTGTGTAATTGTCTTTACGTATTATTCGGGTAATACCTCAGTCTGACAAAGTAAGTCCAGGACCATTTTAACAATCTTTAAGTGGCTCTGGGTTCGAATGGTAGACATCTGCGGTCCGTCCACTGAAGTGCTTTTTGTTTTCAACTTTCAGACGTAGATGTTAACTTTGAGACAAATATGTGCACGTGTGCTTCTGGTGTAAGTGCTATGTTTGACACTTTTCCTGACCTTGCGATCACACACACTAGCCTTTTGTGTTTGTCCAGCTTCATGTTGAATGTACAGTGATCCCTCTCCTATCTCGGTAGCTGTGTTCCAAGACCCACCGCAAACTGCGATCCAAGACCCACAGCGAACTAGGGGCAAGATCGTTTTGATATCATTTCCGTATATATTTAACCTTTACGAACCTTACCCACACTGTTATCAACCCTCCCTAAACTGTATGTATAACGCTTTCCCACACAATTATATGAACAGTAGAGTTGTAAAATTGGAAATATAAGACATACATATTGTGTAAATATATTACATACACATTGTGGGGGCGCGGCAGAGTCTTCGTTTGGGCTTCGTAACAGAAGCCTGAGAAGATGATCAGAGCGATTAGGGGGCATCGTAGGGCGTTAAATTAGGGTGAACTTTCACCAAACTCAATGCTGTGTTTGATCTCCTATAGGTAAACAAAGCTACCAGTGATGTATTTTTGTTTTTGTTTTTTTGCTATATTTTTACTGGTTAATTTGATTTAGGTTAGAAAATGTTTTCTAATCACAAAAATAATGAAAATATTAGAATTTTCTTTTAAATATATACCGTAAAAAAATAGCAAAACTCTCGTGAGATTGAAATAAATTAAAAAATTGCAACGTACGAAAGAAGAACCGTGATATAGAGAGGGACCGCTGTAAGAAAGTCATAAAGGCTAAAATGCTAAAATGCTTTTATCATTTTTTTACGCCATCTATTGGTGAAATGTCGGTATTGCAGGGAAAGGGCATAAGTAAAAAATGATAACATAAATAAATGATATAATTTGAAAATTTTTTGGCAGACCGGATTAAGAAGGCCCTAGTTTGCTGACCCCAGAGTTAGAGGTATGAAGGTTCTCGGAGTTTCTGCAACCATCTTCATATCGTCCTTTATTACATCCATTAATACCCCCCTTACTAAGGTTTTTTTTCCTCTCTCTCTCACTTCTAACCCTCAACAAAGATTACAATCTGCAAATGTTATAATCCACAAAACCATATTGCCTGATTGAATGCAATGTCAAATGCAACCCCACACCTACCCTGTACCCATCTGGCATCCACATTGCATCTGTATTGTTATTATCAAATTTGACCTCAGATTCCATTTTGTTACATGTAAAACCAACAACTAAGACAGTATTTATCAAATAGCGGGGCGGACCCCCCTGGGGGGACACGGTGAGGTGCCGGGGGGGCGTAAGAGGGTTCCAATGAAATATGGCACGGACATAAGTACCACTGCTGTAATGCTTGAATGATAACAGGCCTCCCGTCACTAGGGGGCAGCAACTCATTCAGTGGTTTGTACAGATAAAAAATATCCGTTATCAGGATCTCAATAGTGTTTTAGTTCGTGGGGGTGTGGGTCGGAGGAGGGGGGTGTGAAAACATTTCTGTCCCCAAGGGGGGGTATGACAAATAAATAGAGAACCATTGAACTAAGACAATGCTCTTCTTACCGTACAGCTGCTGCACCGCGATGATGTCGTCCCAACTGGGTACCAGGTTTCGTCCCAGTTTCCTGTAGTATGGTGACATGAGCGCATGACGCACTGGTGAGTGCTCCAACCCCAAAGTGTGTCCGATCTCGTGGGCCGTCACCATGAACAGGTTGTGCCCTTTGTGTCCGTTCAGAGTCCATCTCTCTGCCATGTCGAAGTGGGCTTCGCCCCGACGGGGCAGGAAAGCGTGGGCCAAAGTTCCCCCTTAAAACCAGAGGGGGGGAGAAAAAAAAAGATACAATGGGGCAAAAATGGAGCGTAAATTTAAATCTTCTAACTAAATACACGTAATGGTTGACTCTCACCTGGTCCATCAAAGGCATTGCTGGCCCCGTCGTTGTGGTCTCCCTTATAAAATGCCAGCCGGATGTCTGCAGGCCCTTCAGGAACCTCTTGGAACACCAGGCCTGACACGTTGCTCCAGAGCTGGAAAGCAGCACGTACCACCAGACGCACAGAGCCCAGGGACAAATGGAGAGGCCAGTTCACAATCTGGTACGTCAAGTGACGCTTGTACCACTTTTCAGCTGGAAACCACACACACACACAAACAGACTGTGTTGTGAGGACTTCTCATAGACATAATACATATACCCTTAAGCCCTTACCCTGACCCTACCCATTACAACGCATGCCTAATCCTAATCCTAATCTTAACCCTAACCTAGCCCCAACTCTAATCCTAATATGAACCAGTGGTTCTCAATTATTTTCTATTGAAAACCTGATAACTAAATAAGCTTTCTCTGACCTTCAGAAATGACTTATTTGACCTTAATGAGGATAATGAATACATATTTTGACTTCTTTATATTGTGTTTTTGTTGGTTTTCTTATATTTACAGTGTATATTTACAGTGTATTTACAGTATATTTACAGTGTTTAAATTGGCCCAGTGGTTGGTAAGCAGTGAATTCATTTGTAATTTGTTGAGAGATGGAGGAGTAAAGGAGGTTGTTGAGATCAGCTGTTCTTTTTCATTTATGTTTCCCTAATCTCTGTACGTACACACGGGATTATACCAAAATGGCAATCGGGAAGCAGAATAAACACACAAAGACACTCTTGAGGCTCTCAAACGCACAGCTCACAAACACCAACCAGCAGAAGAGGGGCCTGCCCTACAGGAAACAATCGTTAGATGATATGGAGCCGTTAAGTAGAGGCAGCTGCAGGCAACATGACATGGACAGAGACAAAGTTTGAACGAGGGGAAAGTACTATGAATACCAGAAAATATATTGCAGTTTTATTAATGGAGTAAATATTAAGGACATTCATTTTTTTATAACATTATTACAAAAAAATCCTAAATAGACAAATATTATAATGATAATGAAAAAATCTGGAGGGCCAATCATTGCACAGGGACAAGTGTTACTTTAAATATACATTATTACAAAAAAAATCCTAATATTACAATGATTTTTCTAAAAAAAAAAATCTGTAGGGCCAACCATTGCACAGGGACAAGTGTTACTTTAAAACCTGATTTTGTCCTTATTTGGAGAAAAGGGGCCAGTTTCTTACCATTTTTCTATCCCTTGGCTGATTTTTATATTTGTTTTAGACTCAGGCTTTTTGACAACTTTACTGAACTTTTAAGCTAATCTTTAGCTGGTCGTTTACCTCAGAGGTGTGCGGATGGAAAACACAGTAATGAATATCTACACTCGTGCCAACTGTCCAAAGTTAGCAATGCTAGCATACATAATGGTTAAGATAAAACAAAAGCAAAAAGAAACAGTGTAAAAACAGTTTGAAAATGTTTGAAATAAATAAAAATAATGACAATATTTTGATTGTGTTTTACTGACAATCTGACAAAAACAGGGAAACAGAAACAGCCCTATCAGGAGTAGCAGATACTGGTACACAAGCCAAGAGTGCCCTCTAGCAGGTGTCAGTGTGAAAATATATATATATATATATATATTTTTTAAATAATATCGTGGAGTGCTCGTATCTCAGAAAAAAAATGAATCAGAACCGTCCCCTTATTAGTGCTAATAACAATAGAAAAAACAAGTTTTTAATTGCTGTAGAGACATACATACAGAAAAATATATATATATAGTATATAAAGATTACTGTGATATAAAATAAAATTTGGTTTTAATTATGAGTTACTATCTTCAAGACAGACAATACAGTAGCGGCTAACGGCGGCATGTGCAGAAGAGGAGGAAGGGAGGAAGGAAGGTAAGAGAGTTGGCCCGTACGTAGACACTTGATTCTGTACCGTAACTTACATAAACTTAGAATTAACTTAACTTACGTATTTATTTTTTTTACTTTAGGATGGTACATATCGTGGATGTACTGAGATCATACAGAGAAATACTCATATGTTGAGACGCTCGTATCTTGAGGTTCCACTGTACATAAGTTGCACCTGAGTATAAGTCGCAAACACAGCCAAAGGATGAAACAAAGTGCGACTTATTGTCCGGAAAATATGGTACTTGTTTGTGACTGTAATCTAATGACTCCTCCCATTTTTTTTTTTTGTTTTTTTGTTTTTATTTAAAATGTACCTAAAACACCAAGGATAGAGAGAAAGTTGTTGAAAACTTGAAAAGCACTACAAAATAAACAAGCACATTTAGGCACGACATAAATGCGCTACAACGCAAAGGACTTTTAGCTGAGTGACTGACAGTTGTTTTTAAAAAAAGATAACGTGAAAAAAAAGATACATAAAAGATACGTTTGGACACGAGTCGGAACTATCTTGATAATAGCCCTGACGTAAGCAAGGGGGGAAAACGCATCCTAGAAGAACCTTTTGCATGTAATCTAATGGACTAGGGAAAAAAAGCATCCTAGATGAACCTTTTGCATGTAATCTAATGGACTGTGGAATACGTAACTTGACGTACAAAAGTCAAAACTTAAACCAGCGATTCATATTAAACTCTGCGAAATTAAGTGAAGTGAAGTGAGTAAGCTGCATCGATGTGAGAGTGGGGTTTACGCATACTTTACATTCGGGGCTAAACTGTAAGGTGGCATTGTAAATCAAGCACACTCAGCACTGTCATAATATTTAAAAAGAGTTGTTGTGTATCGGTTCCGACATGGAGGCTGAAAGTTGGTAGGAGGTCTGCACAAAAGCTTCAATTACACACGCACACAAACTCCTGCTCTGCCAGGTCGAGGACTGCAGTCAAATTTGAGCTGTTTTGGAGCCTTTTTTTTTTTTTTTTCAGCCAAACTATACCCAGCGGAGAGGAGTTTTGTGAAAGATGGGAGCGATAAACAAGAGGTATGCACCGCATATTGCGAATTACCAGGAGGCCTCAACAGCACCGCAGGGACAGGAAAGTATCTGAATATCTGGAGTCATTAGGGCTTGGGTTTGGCGAAGAGTGAGTAAACACAAACGGAACACATTCAGAGCTAGACAGAGTTGATTTGCGATTTGTGTTGCACGCAGAAATATTACACAGTGAAGTGGCAGCACCTGGTGAACTTCATCGTTCCTAACTTTATCGAAGTTTACCCAAAGTAGTTGGGCTAGTTATTTTTATGCATTCCCTGATTTACATTGTTTCTTAACCACGCAAGTTTCCAAGTGCAACACTGTCTCCAAATCAGCTCCATTTTTTCTATTTCAAAATTCACAAATTACAGCACCAATCACCAATCTGTGGCATGATACGAATAAATCTGCATGAATCTTTGGAACCCTCCTCTCCAACCCAGACCGCAGCGCAGGGTAATAGGTCCCTGAGGACAACCGGGGGGGGAAGTCTGATACACACAAGACATTCCTCCACATCACTGACGGAAGTCATTAACATAATGTCTTCTGCAGCAACATTGCAGGCAAGGTGGTCAATCACGGACCTTCGGAAGCAACTGGGACCATCTGATAGCTGACGTTATTGTTTGTGAAGGAGAGGAGGTTGTTTGTTTCTGGTGTTCTGGTGGAGTCTCTTAACAAAAGTTATAGGTCTGAATCCTCGGGCAGCTATGGCCTACATGGTTTACAGAAAATGACTGTAGGTGACCAGAACTCACTAGGCTGTAAAACCGAATGGTTTAGCCCAGTGGATGCCAAACTTTCACTGCTAGCCACCGCTTTGGTTCATAAAAAGGTTTTTACACCCCCTATTCAAAAAAAACGGGACACAGACACACACATTTTGTGTGAAAAACAAACGCAAAACGAACAAGCGACAGCAAAAACAAGTGCAAGAATTAAAAATTGCGGCCTCCTTTGCAATATTATTATCAGATATCCGTTTTACACAGCCTTCAGCCAATCCGTTTTTTGCCAGTCTCTTGTTAAACAGCCTTCAGCCAATCCGTTTTTTGCCGGTCTCTTGTTAAACATTTACAGCATTGGACAATATGCTGTGTTACAAAAAAAATAAAAATAAAATAAAATGTAGTATCTGTGCAGCTACCATAGACTGGTTATAAAAAGATAGATACTGGACTATAAGTCACACTTTTTTTCACCTTTAGCTGGGTTTTCGACTTATACTCAGGTGCGACTTATATATTAAAGAATATAATTTCACATGTTTGTTATTTTCAAACTGACAGCCGCTAGAGGGCAATCTGGACTTGTGTACTAGCTTCGGCTACTCATGTACCATTGAAAATGTACGTTTGTTTTTTTTTTTTACACTGACGGCCGCTAGAGGGCACTCTAGACTCGTGTACCAGTATCTGTTACTCTTGTCCCACTGAAGATATACGTTTTTTTATTTTAACACTGACAGCCGCTAGAGGGCACTCTAGGCTCCTGTACCAGTATCTGCTACTCTTGTACCACTGAAGATTTACGTTTTTTTTTATTTTTACACTGACAGCCGCTAGAGGGCACTTTGGGACTTTTACATTCTCGTCCACATGGCCCATTAGCATTTTACTTTTTTTTTTTTTTCTGGTAAAAATACGGTGGGCTTTACAAATCTGCCCAAGTCAGGCACCAGGTATAATGGAGTATAAAGGGTTCACAGGTCGGAAGTGGCCTCTGGGCTGGGACTTTCACATCCTCGTCTACATGGCCCATTAGCATTTTCCTTTTTTTTCTTTTCTTTTTTTAAAACATCAATTTTTTACGTGTCAGAAATATTTTCAGCTCTGATTTGATGCATTTTCAAAGACGTTGAACTTTTCAGGAAATAAAGTCAGTTAAAATTTAATGCATATCCACCCACCCACCCACACACACACACCTTTTGTACTCACAACTCTTATCTAGGAATAGTGCAGTGGAATGCCACCTGTGTAAATATCAGTGGGAACGACCATTAGATTTGACCACAAGTCAAGTTCTGTTTTCTTTCAAGCTAAAAGAAGCGACTTTGTTGTAAATAATCAAAGTAATCTTGATTACAATCTAAATGCTACATAATTTACATACATTACAATAATACATGCAATACATTCAAAAATCGGGAATTTCCCCAGTACTTTTACTGACCAACTGTACTGCATTTTCAATGGTTAAACATAAGCTAAAGTTAGCAAAACTTCACAAAACTGGAAATATTTAAGAGCTCAGGACGTTAATTGATCTCAATCATCCTGGTCGTTTTATCTGAATCAGTTCAGAAATAGTCAACTGGATCGACTAATGCATTTCATATGGTTTACTGCACATGTGTCAAACTCAAGGCCCAAGGGCAAAATGCGGCCCGCCAAGTCATTTGATATGGCCTGCAGGAGCTTAGAAAGAATTTAATAAAGTCCATGCAGCAGAGCTTCTTAACCAGATAAATTAATTTTTTTTTTTTATATTTCATTATATTTAACTCGAATAAATAATAATCAATTGCAGAAACATTTAATAATACATTATGGAGTTGTCAGTCTTCCATTTACAATCAGCCCTTCAAGATAGATAGATAGATAGATAGATAGATAGAAAGATGGATGGATGGATGGATGGATGGATGGATGGATGGATGGATAGATAGATAGATAGATAGATAGATTGAAATTGAAATACTACTGAGAACCCAGTAACGTGTATATTTTTATCTGTACAAAGCCCTGTATGAGTTGCTGCCACCTAGTGACTGGAGGCTTGTTATCGTTCATGCATTACAGCAGTGGTACACTTGTGCGTGTCATATTCTGGATCAGCAGGGTGTGGATGTCTTGTCTTAATTCTGCCTCTTGTCATGTTGGACTTATATTACTTAAATAATAACTGAACAGCCTGTAAGCTTGGCAACCAGTGTCAGCCAGCCAGCCAGTCAGTCAGTCAGTCAGTCATGGAAGTACTGTTTACCAGCAGGAACATTTCAGGTACTGACATGAATAGGCAGCAGCAAAATGTCAGCCACAAATGCATTCCCTGACTATTGCCCAACCTCGCCACTGACACGAAGGAATGCGGAGTCTTCGCCCAACAAAGCTGGAGGCACCAGTCAAGAGAGAGGTAGCAGTAAATCTAATGCCTGTGATGCTGTCACCTGTTTGCTGGTGCTGTTCATTGGGATGAGCTCTTCAACAACTACTTTCTAACGGCACATCAAAAATTAAAACTAATGCTTTTTCTGTATTTTCGCTTTTTTGTTTTCTGGCATTGTTTTGATGAGATGGAAGAAAAATGTGACTTAAATGTAAGTACCATCATAACCTATAAATAACAATAAGGCCATGTTTTTCCCATTTATTAGGTAGGTTAACCTAATAAATATTCATATTTAATTAATATATAAAATATAATTTTTCAAAACATCCTGAACACAAGGTGTTTTTAAAAAAAATTATTTTCAAAATTCATCAAGTGGAATGAATTGGCCTGCGGGTCGTATGTTAGACCGCCCTGTTCTAAACGTTAACCACAAATAACAATAGTTGGAAGTAATGCAACCTAGTGCAGATTCAGCTCACCACTGTAGAGGGTGCTATAAACCCTGTTTTAACATTTTTTTGTAAAATTGCTAATCTAGCTCTGACTCCAGCTGAACCCTTTCAACATTAACGAGTTATTAGAGAAAAACAAGAATACATTTAAAACTAGCTACCAATAATTGTTCAAGGCATATAAAACATTTACGTCAGACATGTTTCAGCCAGAGATCAGTCAGAGAATCTTGGCTCTGGAGATGATATAGTTGGCCGAGTTTTTATAGCACAGGGTTCCAGCATCGTTTGTACAGCTGTACCACCGCACCAATGGCATAAACAAAACGTAAAAATTAAATAATTAATTGAATTACCTGATTGAAAATTGCATACTAGTATGTGCATTAAAGTGCATACTAACTATCGCCTTACCACTGTGCGACCACCTTTGAAATCTTTCCTCGTGTTTTGGGATTAACTAATGTTGGAATGACACAAAAAATCAGTCAAAATCCACCATAACTGTATGAATCGCATAATCAGGTTAAACTGCAGTGACCTGCACACCAATCATTTCTCTGCACTTAAATACTTCAAATACAATTTTTAATTATAATGCTAAAACCACATACGAAACAACTGAAAAACCTGAAAAACCTGATGTTACCATCAAGATTCAAAATACAAAAAAAAAGGTGTTATAAAAGAGAATGTGTTCATTTAGTGTTTTTGGCCACTATAAGCAGTGTCACCTGGGCCTACACAGTTAGTGTTTCAGTGTTTTCAAGTACAGCCCTGGGCTCGATCTTAGCTTCAGTTTTCAAAGACAGACCTTCCCAGTGTTTCAGTGTTAAGTACAGCCCTGGGCTCGATCTGAGCTTCAGTTTTCAAAGACAGACCTTCCCAGTTAAACGTCGCCTCTTCATGACGGCTGCGCAATAGAACACACAAGAACGGCACTTACAGGGGAGTAAACAAAATCAGCAGTTTCTTTACGCAAGAGTAGGGATGTCATTCAGAACACAATACTTTTAGCCTTTACGTCTCACTCAGGCACAGGGAACAAAATAAATACCTTGTGCAACAGAGCGCCTCCTGCGGCCCGTAGCTCGTCCACTGGACCTTTTTCCACTAAAGATGCTGTTTACTCTCTGTGCCCACATCTCCTGGCTGCCCTCATCCGTCACCCCGCAACGAGGCTCCGCCATTTGCCTCAAGGTGGCACTGTCGAGTTCACCCGTGATGGGAAGCCGGTACAGCAACTGGAACTCACTGTGAAGAGAGGAAATATCTTAAAGCTGGGGGGGGGAGGGGGAGGCACCCCATGGGAATGTACAGTGCCCGTTGTTTTTCCTATGAAAAGTAAGTTCACTTGTTTCGAGACAAATCCGAAAGACAAAGTTCATTAAATGATGTCTAAAGTAAGTTGTTTTCTACAAGTATCCAACATTCACTTGTTTCGAGACAAATCCAAAAGACAAAGTTCATTAAATGATGTCTATGTTTCTAAAATAGAAGGTAAAGCAAAGCAGGTGACTGCATGGACTTTCCAATTGCATCTCCTGAATTTGAAAATTCCAATCCAACTACAGACTAAGGCGTGAATTTCCAAGACAAACCTTACCCCACGGAACACAAGAGCTTGTGTTCTGCAAGTAACACAATCCTGTCGATGACCTCACCTTACACCAACCGGTCCCGTAAACTACAATTAGGGTTTGTGACCTCAAAACCACTTCTAATGACCCCCAAAGAATTCCTTTTCAAACATTACTGCAGCAGACTCTAGTTCAGGCGTGAGCGCAAACTTTTTGACACAAAGGCCACATTTGTCCTAAAATTGAACAGGGGGTCAGGAGCAGATAGATGGAGCATTTGTGTGAATTAAGATAAATGACATGTAAAAGTCATGCCTAAAGGCTAAAATGCTAAAATGCTTTCATCTACGCCATCTATTCATGAAACACGGGTATTGCAGGGAAAAAGCAGAGGTATAATAATAATGTAAATAAATGATATAATTTTGAAAAGTTTGGGCCGTATTAAAAAGCTGAGCGGGCCACATCCGGACCCCAGGCCTTAGTTTGCACATACCTGCTCGAGTTGATTGAAATTAAGATTAAGGCAAAAGAATGCAAACAATTCCTTTTAATAAAGAGAATAAATGTACCTTCCAAACACTTGCTCAATTGGTTTTTGAATAATATGAATGTTAATAATAATATATCATGGTCTATTTTGTATTATTAAGTATTATGTTTGTACATTCCTCCATTTCTTTCCATGTTGTAGGGTTTTAGTCTCAATTTTAGCCTCAATTTTACTGGTTCCATAGCGTAGCATTTAGCATGCTTCGGAAGCAGAGAGCTGATGGTTTTAGGTTTGATTCCCAGAGGAACCACAGTGCATCAATGAAGTTAAGTTATTATTATTATTATTATTATTATTATTGACGTGGCCTAGTCATGTCTATCAGTTTGGGAATACATTAGCATTGTAGCCTAGGAGGAGCATAGTAGCCATGACATCATCAGCTGCCTCCAGACCTTTAATTACTTCAGTAATTAACCACAGACAGCAGACATCATAAAGATCTGAGAGATCTAAATCTACTGACATTTACTTTTTCCCCCCCCTAAATACTCATTTAGTACAAAGAGCTCCTCCATCAGTGTTTTACTGTGGCCCAGTTGGCATATGGGCCAGAGGGTGAGGTTCTTTAAATTCCTTCATAGTTCAGAGAAAGCGGTTTACGTGATCACTGCAGAGGTGAGGGGGTGTTTTACTGCCCTCCCCAGCTCTGACGTTCCCGCCTTCAGGCTAGTCCGAATGTTGGCTCTCCCTTCTCTCACCAGCACATTTACCTCTGCTCTACCTGGAGGGAAACTTAAATAAAGGAGCAGCTTTGTTTAACAATAATATCATAACACATGGCATCATGAGAAAAGAGTTGTAACCTTTTTATATAAGTGTTGTTGGATTTTTAAAAAAAACTGAGCACGAACGACAAACTTAAAGCACCATCGGAAATTCGTCCTGCTGTACATCAAACTAGTGATACAACAATTGTTGTATTGGTTTTAATAATAATATTTTAGAGTATGAGTATTTGAATGAAATGATGTGCCGATCCGCCGAATACTCCTCATGGCTCCTCAATACAACCAGCTGCGCAAAAGTTGGCCGGTGTTGTTTTCCTGCCCAAGGGAAGACCCGTGTTTCATTGCCCTCAGTGGTACCGTAATTTCCGCACTATAAGCCACTACTTTTTTCGCACGCTTTGAACACTGCGGCTTAAACAACAACGCGGCTAATTTATGGATTTTTGCGGGCTAACGAAGTTCATACCGCAAGCGTGAGTTGGTTATACAGGAGCTGTTAAAAAAACACTGTTTATGTTTTGTTGTGCTCGGTGTTGCTGATAATGAAGACCCCAACTTCTCTGTTTCTGTTTACCTCTGCTGGGGACAAGCACAAAGTGAAGGGAGTCAAGCCCAGAGCTAATGTTAGCTTCGGCTCTGGAGCAGATCACTAAGTCTCCCCTGTGCATTCCAACTCTGCCGAAGCAGGAAAGAGCTAATGTGCAAGCAGCCATGTTACAAGGCACTTTTCAGAAAGAAGCATTTGTGTAATTAAAAGTGAAAAAAAAAATCTTTCTGTGTAAATATACCACGTTACAACATGGACACCTGTGGCTTACAGAGAAATGCGGCCTATATATGTACAATTGGTTTTTGTCTTTTTAAATTTAGTGGGTGCTCTCAATAATCCGGAAATGACAGCAGTTTATTTAAGTAGGTCAATGATGTCAGCAGTTTGAGGACAGGGGTCAGGGACAAAGACAAGAGAAAGAAATAATGCAAGAATTGTTTCGTTACCATATAAGAATATACGCTTTTAGCGATGAGATGTTTCTTCTCAGTTTAACGACGTGTTGGAAAGGTGATGCATTTATACCGGGATGAGGTTTGGGTCGAGTTCACACCTATGAACTGTACATTGTACGCTCGCTTCAAAATCAAAGCCTATTTATTTGAAGAAAACCTAAAAAAGTGACAGTGACAATACTCGGTACGTACAGCACGTACATAATAGAAAATACCTGCAAATTTCTGGTTCCATAGTGCAGCGTTATCGTACCTCCCTTACATATCTGCCTTGCATGAAGAAGGTCCTGGGTTGGTTAGTTTTTATCAATGAATACATTGTGAAATTCAGTTATTGTATTTCTGATCTGCTGAGCCCATTGTGAAATTTAGTTATTGTATTTCTGATCTGCTGAGCCAGGCAGATTCACTTCCTACAAAATACGTTTAAACACTTCTGTTTACAATTAGGGCTTACTTAGGCAAACATGAATTATTAGCAGTGCTTCTACGGGCCTAGACTCCTGGAAATATTCCCGTGTTGCGCTGATACCTGTCATCCTCATGTCCTATGATTTACGTATCTGAAAGTTGAATGTAGAATCACCTACCGAACCGCCGTCTTCATCTCTACTGAATTGTGGATATGGTTGTCCTGATGAAGGTAGCCATACTTTTCCAGAAAACCCTGCAATTGAAAGATTACAATACTTAAGAAAATATTAAAATAAAAAAAATATTTTCTGATCCATGCTTGCTCACTGCACCACAAATCTATTTGTAACAAACAATTCTTAATAACTTCCCTCAGGGGATCAATAAAGTCAACTCTGATTCGGAATTACAGTAACTTTTCACCTACATCTGATCTCTGCATAAGATATAAAATATATAAAGTATTAATATGAATTTCCATTTTGAAGGTAGCAGGGAAACCACAGGACCACCCATACGAGAAAGAAACCCCGGAGCTGTCACTAGAAAACACTCCCAGTCATTATTTCTTTAGAATTCCATGCGGGATTTTAAATGACGGACTACAAAATCCAGCGTAACAGGCTGTGTTACAACAGGTGTTGTTGAATTGCAGATTAGCTGAGTTGTGCTGACAATGGTTTAATATCTCATCCTTCATGTGCTTCGTGTTCAGGCAGCAGCAGCAGACACATCTATGATTACAGATGTGGTGAGGGTGGGACAGGAATACAAATGAAGTGCAGGACAGATGTGCCTCAGCATAAAGGAATGTACAGCAAAAAAAAAAAAAAGTCCCTTTGTCCCAGTGCAGACAGTTGTTGGTTCCCCTAAGGCTTTGAGACATCTGAGACAGGGGTCTTCAATGTAGTGAGGGTGAGGGGGTCCATACAAATAATGCAAGGGGGTTTTGAAATTTCTGGTAATCAGACAATTTTGAAATATTTCCCCCAATTTGTTTCCCATGAAATGATTGTCTATAGTGTGTGCAAAAATAAAGTTTGTTCATAGCCATGGCTCTAATATAGTCTCATAAGTAAAAAAAAATTTAAAAAGTCAACTTTTATTACTGTACTAATCCTTAAATAGTTAATATTCAACTGGCAGATGTTGACAAGATATGGTTATAAACTCTACTCTTTATTCCTTTTATTTTTTTAATGTAAAAAAAGAGGCTAGAAGTTAGCGACCACAGCACAAAACAAAACAGTTAAGTTTTCTTTAACATGTCCTCAGTAACTTTGATGTATAATATATGGCCTCTTGGAGCTGTTTATCTATTGTCTATTAAATGATTTACTTTTTTTTATCTACATGTAAGACATTTGGTTAATCATGTCTGACTGAAGACCTACAAAAATCCCTGAGTAAGCTCAAATGCACCTGTGCTAGGTGATGTCATAGGAAAATAATAATGATGAGATAAGAAAGTTTTATCAGAACGACTGTTTCATATCTACCCAAACTTTTAACGTGGCTGTTTGCCCGGAAACATGTTTAACACACGGGACAAAAACGTGTTTCAAATGAATACAAATAACAGTTTACTTTAATTGATTTACAGTGTGTCTTTAAGACTTACACTGAACATTTTATCGTAAATTTAGATTCAAGGGGACAGATATACATGGTTTATTTTCTTCGTGGTTTTATATTTTTACATAATGAATAATCTTAAAAACGTGTCACTCAAAAGCCAACAAAAGCAACTGTAATGTTTAGTAATGCGCTAGCGACCACAGCATTACTCCATTATGTTTAATGCTTATAGCCTTTTCTAAGCCATCTACTGGGGAAATGCGAGCATTGCAGGAAAAGGCAGGAGTATAACGATAATATAAAATTAATAACATTGTCCCACATGGGACAAGTTCGTCGGGCCTGATTAAAAAGCCAAACGGTCCGCGACTGGCCCAGGAGCCGTAGCTTGCCAATGCAAACTCAAGGCCCGGGGGCCAAATGCAGCCCGCCAAGTCGTTTTGTCTGGCCAGTAAAGCCAAGTAAAGTCGATGCAACAAAGTTTCTTAACCTAAGAAATTAAACGTTTTTTTATCACATAGCAATAAACAATATTTTTAGCTCGAATAAATAATAATAAATTACAGAAACATGTATTAGTTTATAATAGAGTAGTCATTATTTTAAAATATTGCCTGGGTTTTCTTTGAATGAAGTTGATACTTAGGTTGATAATTAGACAAATTAAGTATATATTTTTTCACTGTGTCCCACTGCGTCTCGGTACCAAAAGACCTATGGACTGGTACTGGTCCGCGGACCGGGGTTTGGGGATCCCTGATCTATACAGTCTTCCATTTACAACCGGCGCTTTAAGGGGAACTGTATTGCTGATGTGGCCCCCGGTGAAAATGAGTTTGACACCCCTGTGGGGGGGGAGAGGGAGGGAGGGTATGCTGTAGAAAGTTGGTACCTCAGGATCCTGCAGCGGCGGCAGCGCGGAACCTCCGGGTGTCGGTGCGCTGATGAGGGCGGTCACAGCCAAGACCCAGAGCGCCCTCAGGTCCCAGGGCTGCGGCGAAGATCGGCGTCTCATCGCGAGCCACGCAGAGCCTCAACACACGGAGCATTTCTCTTCGATTCCAAACATGGCACAGTATGGTGATGGTGTTTCTCGTTGACCGTGACGCAGATCACCGTCCAACATCTCCATCCTGTGAGGAGCGTCTGTCCCTGCAGCTCCAAACAGCCAGAGTTTTCGGGGGCGTGGGGGGGGAGAGGGAGGGAGGGTCGGCACCGCCCTCTGTGCACGCCTGTGGAGCGGCAACAGCAGATCAGGGTGAGACAGCAGCAGTGGTAAATACACTTTGAGAGTAAACGGAATAATTCATGACTACTTCCTTCATTGGTGAGCTCTGCAGTCATCTATCCTCTAATGGGACGGGACATAGATGACGTGGTGTCAAGTGTCTTGTACAAAGAAAACAGGCTCCATCTCCCACCTTGCGAATGGAGGACAATCATTAAAAAAAAGAAAAAGTGAATTACTTGTCATTGTGACCTCTGCATTTTACCCATCACCAAAGTGAGCAGGGGCCAGCTAAAGCACCCAGGGAGCAGTGCGTGGGGATGGGATATTTTTCAGAGGTTTTAGTATGGACTAATTGTGTTAAAACTTATTTTCTAAATGAGCATATCTCATCAGTAGCACATGGATCTTGTATGTCCTAGCAGAAACACGACAGACAAAACAACCAAACTAACAAGCCCAGAACTAAAAGATTAGAGGCTGATGACCCCAAAAAAACAATAGACATTCTGTAGTTGTATCGACCTATCACTTTTGAAAAACATGTACCGCATTTTCCATGCTATAAATGGCACTTTATTTTCATCCTTTAGCCGGGTTTGCGACTTATACTCCACTGCGTCCTATATATATTAAAATATATATTCACATTCGCAGTGCATCCTATATATTAAAATATATATTCACATTCGTTATTTGCACACCGACAGACAATAGAGGGCACTCTAGGCTTACCTTTGGCTGGTAAGACGTATTTTCCATTGGAAAATAGGGTACATAAGGCTAAATTGGTGTGTCCCTGCTCCAACACAGATACTGACACAACATGCCTTTGGTCCCTATTGTTGCCAAACTCACCACCAGCACAAAGGTCAAATGACACAGAGGGAAAAGATCACAGTTTTTAATATCATTTTAGGGAAACAAAAAGAAGAAAAGTAAAACATTTGTTCATACAAAACAATGGTACAATGTCTATCTGGCAAAACACCTGTAGCTACAATCGGAAAAAATTAAAAGGATGTACAAAGAAATAAAACGAAAGAGATCAACAAGTAACGCCTTAGGCCTCAATTCCCTTCACACAAGTTCAGCCTGGCTAACCCCCGCCCTCCATGAACAGTCAGGAAGCACTGGTACAAGTCAGAGCGTCTGACCAATTCCAGTTTGTCTAGACTAATTCATCCACTCTGCAGTGATGTGAAGGGTTGGGGTGTTTTCCATTGGTTACGATTAGTATGGCCGGTCTCTCCTGTCATCTCTGCGGTCACCTCTGTGGAGGGGAAAAACAAAGATGTCTGTTGCAGATTGTTCGTCTTTACTGGAAGTCTCGAATTCATCCTTTTGACATTGAATGGAAAGACGCAATACGATAAAAGTGCAGCTGCTGCCACTGCCGTCTTTGGAAATTTTACATTTCTCCGAAGCATACTGTTTTATTTATTTATTTTTTTAAATAGTAATAGAGTAATTTGGGGAAATAACTTTTATTTAAATAGCGATATGACTTACTCCTTCAATAAAAGGTCAATAAATCAAGACCTTGGGGAAAACAAAGCCTCTAAAAGGAGCAAGAAAAATGAATTATATTGCAATAAAACATATTGAATTTGAGGTTCAAGTTGGAATAATATTGCAAAAAAAAAAACATATTGAATTTGAGGTTCAAGTTGCTTATTTAGAGAAATATTTAATCAACAGCTAACAAGAAAAATTAAAAAAAAAATCAACATATTAGAATACAACCAATTCAGCCAAGCTACATGTTCAAAATCTGTGTTCTCAGTTTAGGCAGACAACACCATCTACTGGTGATAAAGTAACAGTGCAGACATTGCCCAGCTCAACCGTTTCAAAAGGTCAAGTTTATATTTAGAATACTACGTGACAAACCTTCCTCCCATCTTGTAGCCACCTCCATAACTTCCTCCGCCGCCGCCACCTCCATAACCTCCACGGTCTCCCCCACGGAAGCCACCCCGACCTCTGAAGCCGCCACCCCCCCGGTCGCCGCCATAACCTCCTCGGCCACCACGATCTACAAAGGAAAACATTTTAGAAAAACAGGAATCTGGGAAAAAACTCTAAATACATGTTTTCAAATCTGACCTCCAAAGCCTCCATCCCCTGGTCGAGGTGCACCACACTTGTTGCACTCTTGCCGCCGGGCAAAGTTCATGTTGCCACAAGAGCTGTGTGGAACAAGATGTTTTTTTTTTTTTTTAAATACATGCCAGTCACAGTCAATTACTTCTTTTGCTGTAAATTATTACTCTTGCTCCGCTAACCTGTTAGGACAGGGCCAGTCTCCGCCCTTAATGTCAAAGTTAGGTCCTCCACCACCACGTCCTCTGAAACCTAAACAGAAACATCCAATAATTGCTTTTAGATTCAACAAAAAAAAAAAAACAACAACAAACAAACATTAAACCAGATACAGCTGATTTGTACAGACCACGCCCTGTTTTTCCACCTCTCTGCGCAAACTCGGATCTCTGTGTGGCAAATTCTACTTTAATGGTTTTGCCATTAAACTCCTTGCCTGGAATGCAAACAGATGCTTTTTTTTAATGCCTCATGTTTCCACATGTTACTTTATAAAGATAATAAGTCTCACCATCAAACCAAGCAATTGCAGCCTTGGCCGTAGGAGGATCATCATAAGACACTGTGGCTTCTCCTTTTGGTTGACCAGCAGAGTCTTTGTAGACATTGATCATTGGCCGACCTGTCTTCTTGCTTACCTGAAACCATATTATTTTATATCATTAATGCCATTAGGTTTTCTTCTGACAAAGCTGACTGGAGGACAGGGTAAAGAGTTGTTTGCTTCAAGTGTCTTCTCGACCCCTTTGCATAGGCTCAATGTTGGAAGTCATTCAATGTGTGAATGGGGGGAAAAAAGTATAATAATAAATATTATAATAATAATAATAATAAAATTAAAATAAATCACTTTAACGCTCCCATTATCCTTTGCATGTTGTACACAACCAGAGTCCTCGCAACAGGTTTGCATGTTGTCCCAGAATCGGAGTATTGGGAAAAGTTGGCACAAGCTGTGCAGTGCAGGAGTGCACGCACACACTATCAGCCAGCAGGTTACTTAGACCCAAAGGACAACACGAGGGTTAAGCTCTTCACACCAAAAACATTCAATTAGCCAGTACAAACAGTGAATGTCCCTATGAAACATCTATAGACTGTCAAAGGTGTTTTTGCAGTTTGAGGCAATTTGACAGCACACCTAATATTCATTTTGTTGCTAACAATTGCAATACAATTTTGGGATGACATTTAAAGCAGCAGAGTAATGGAAACAATGCTGAGATTTGTCAGAGTAGTAACTGGCATTGTGTGTTTATGCTACAGAATCACCCCTTTCTCTAATTCAATATTGTTCGGAATGCAGACGCATAAATGAGGGGCTCTGTGCAGTTACTGCAGATATGCTGTCAGATCTATGAAGAAAAACAATGTAACAGCTCATGTAGTCAATCGCTTAGGTGCTTTTCTTGCCCTGAAAACTTTGACGACCCCACGATGTAAATGTTTGCAGTAAATCAGGTCTGTTGTGAAAACATGGGAACCCATACTACATGAAAAATTCTGGATGTAACCAGCTATACACCTACCTTAATGACACCAATCTGCTTAAAGAAGTCGCCCACTTGTTGTTCTGTGACTTCCTCTCCCAGTCCTGTTATAAAGATGGTGTTGTTGTCAGAGTTGTCCTGCTCTCCAGCTGCAGAAAACAGGAAGACACGCTTTAAAGAGCAGGCACTTTTGGAAGAGACCAAGGAATTAATCAACATTATTCTTAATTTGATTGTGGTAGTCAGACATACAAGATTCATCCCTTGAGCCGTAGTCTCGAGAGCCTGTGGAACAAAAGAGAGGACGAGATGCAGAACTTGAGCACAGATTCTTGATGTTTCTCTGTTCTGTCACACTCACACACAAAGTTACTACTTTTATTAACTGGAGTCCCTAACCAATGTAAAATGATTGAAAGAAAAATAATTCCATAGTACTGATGAGTGTTTACCGTTGTTTGCCATACCATCACCGTACAACAAGAACAAAACTGTTCTGTTTTCTTTTTCTTTTTTTTTTCAGCTTACACCAGAAATAAAAACTGTCTCCAGCAATTGAATGTTTACCTTCTTCGTTCCTGGGAACACCTTTGTCACTTATTAATCATACCTCTTCTTCATGCAACAATGCCATTAGTTTTAAATCTCAGCTCCATGTTCTTTACCAAGTCATATAAGTGCAACCCTAATAGAATAAAAAGGTTTTCCCTTGGGATCTGGACATGAAAATGATACCATTTACAGTTTGTGTCTTTTGCTAACCCCACATTTTCTCTCTTCCATTTTGCTATGTCAAAGTTTACTCCCCCACCGACACAGTTCTGATGCTCGTCACTTACCACCGTAATTTTTGTAGCCACCACGGTCACCACCTCTGCAGAGGAAAAAATTGGAGATATGATGGCTTTTCCTTTGTCCCAACTGAGAGCTCAAAGCTCCCCTACATCCCACATCAGTATGCACTCCTGCCAGGGTGTGAGACTATGGTGGAAATGTCTCACACGAGGAATGCGTTAGTCTTTGACATTAGAGATCAGTGAACAGACGACTAGGCAGCTCTGGCTGAACACTCAGGCAGACGCATGAAGCCAAACACGTCGCTGGGTCACAATTCACAAGGCAAATTTAACACTTTCTCTTTTGACATGACCAGATTGGATACCAAAAGCTGTAAAAACCAGCTCCTCTGATTTGTTTTTTTTTTTTTGTTTGTTTTTTTTGAGAAGCCAATTAAATGCGAAGGGGCAAAGCCACCGATAAGCAATCTTCCAACGAGTGTGTTTATGAGATCCATTAACTGAGGTCCAAGTTATAGTGCAATCACTCTGAATACCTGTAGTATAAAATGTAGATCCATGTTAACACAAGACATTTGCTCTCCATTGTCAAATATACAACACTTTAATATAACCTAGTTTGTCTGTTTGGTGCATCGCTCTCTGGTATTTCCAATCTTGAAAAGGCACACTGTGAATCGTAGATAAAGATTTACTGTGGTCAAAAGAACAGCTAAATGCTAATTTAATGTACCTTTAATTAAAACTAAGCAGTCTTTCATGTAGCAGTGATGTTGTTAAGTTTTGAAGCTAGTGAGTCCCAAGGACCTTTGGATAATGGATGAAAGAAGTCACTTGGAACTTTGATGGGCTTTTTCCCCCTCCTGTTCCACATTGATAGCGCTAAAAAACAGTTATGTCTGAGTTAATATATTTAAAGTTTAAATAATCGAATAACATTGCAAATCTAAAACATTTAATGCAACAATGTTAGGCCACCCAGTGAAACGCATCCAACCACACCAGAGCTGCTTTGTCTCACCGACTCTCCGATTTTACCTGACTTTGTTCCGAGTCTTTTTGTGGAGCGTAGACACTGACATAACAGAGGCTGGTAGGTAAAGTATCATATAGTGTAGTCATGTATGATGGTCTCCTCTCTGAATTCACACAGACTGCCTACTTTAATAAAAAAATTAAAAAAACTGACTAGATGTGGGGTAGTTGATAAACTAGGTATAAATAAAATCTAAAAAAATAAAAAAAAATAAAATGCATACCTTACATAATTCTCTCATATTTTGTGGTGAATTTTGTTGTGTGCAAAGACATGGCATGTACCTAGCAACATCACTGCATATATGAAGTTTAAAAAAGGTATTTAAAAAAAAAAAAAAATACTGTGCAGATAGAAAATGATTTTACACAACCACACATGTAGCCTACCAGCTGATACCACTGTTGCAGAATGGACAAAACCTGTGCCAAACTGTGATGGTCATACACAGCTGAGTCTGGGTGGCAAGTTTGGGCGGCATTAAGTCAAACACCTCAAACACCAGCACAACCTCTTTACCACACAAAAAACAAGGTAATTATGAACGATTGGACTGGTATACAGTAGGGATGTCCGATATTAACTTTTTGCAGATAATATTGTCCAAACAATTTCCGATTCCAATATCAACACATACCGATATAGTGGGCAGTGGTGGAAGTGTTGCCTGCTTACTAGGGTAATGGGTTAAAACAGCGTTTCTCAATTATGTTCTGCCCCCTAGAGGACAGAATTAAAATACTATTGAGCACCAGGTAATATTTATCTGTACAAACCACTGTAAGAGTGGCTGGCACCAGCATTCTGCATATAATCACCTGAGTATCAATATAGATTAAAATGAGCTACAATGCTGCCCTCTAGCAATATAGATTAAAATGAGATGCAATGCTGCCCTCTAGTGACCAGAGGCTTTTTAGCATTGATAGTGTTGTGTTCATTGTGACAGTTGGGGAATAAACGTTTGTTTTGGTATATCGTTCTATTTTTTTACTGACTGTTCTTGGGTGCCTTAAACACACCATGTTGTAGCACACATGCGCATTGTGTTCCTTGTGTTGGGGCCAGCTGGCTTGGATAGCACTGCTCAGATTATGATAGAGATTTGGTGTGTGCTGCGGCCAACAACAGTCAGCTGATATTATCGAACATCCCTAGTATACAGTAAAGGTGCAGGTCTATTAGAGCACGGCATTAAGGAACCTGGACCATGTGAACATTGGCAAGTTTTCAAATGCGAAAACATACTGGATTACATGAATAACAGGCACTCCTCCCCCTTACTCTATGTAAAAGGCAAGAACATATGGGCTGAGTTAATAACAGGTCATATTTGTATATAGGTACCTGGGGGGCAGTGGCACTTTGCAACTTACCCCATACCAGGAGGTCCGCCTCTTCCTCCACGGTCATAGCCACCACGTTCGTATCCACCACCGCGTTCGTATCCACCACTGCGGTCATAGCTACCACGGCCTCGACCTCTGAAGCCCCCTCCTTCTGAGCGATCACTATGGTCACGTCCGAACCTCCCACCCTGACCACCAGCTTCACCTAGAAGGCAGAAAAATGTTTTAAAGGACTTCAAAATGAGCTCCAATAAACTCAAATACGCAGGATGCATGAAGGGATGGTGTGTTCATACCTTCACTCCACCTGCCATAGCTGCCACTTTCTTGACCCTGGCCTCCGTAAGAGCCCTGTTGTCCGAAACTGTCTCCTGCTCCACCTCCTCTCGCCGGGCCACCATAGCTGGCACCAGCACTGCCAGGTCCACCTTGCTGTGCATAACTTTCTCCTCCTCGCCCCTGGCCACCATACCCTCCGCTGCCAGTCTGTCCCTGTCCTGCTAAGGAGCTCTGTGGGCCATAGGCGGCGGCGGCAGCAGCAGCAGCATCTCCTCCCCCTCCTCCTCCTCCTCGCCCACTATAAACTCCTCCAGCGGCACCACCCTGGGTACCATAAGATCCTGGCTGCCCAAAGGTATCTGCTCCTCTCACTTGCCCACCATAGGAGCCTTGTTGACCAAAGCTTTCTCCTGTTTGGGCCTGGGCACCATAGGAGGCTTGCTGCCCATATGAAGCCTTGTCACTGTAACTTAAGGCGATGTAAGAAAAATTTCAGTGAGCACAGCTGATTTCTTTTTATTATTGTTTTTAGCTCATTTACAAAAAAAAAACTGCATGATAATTTCACTGCTTTCCAATGTTTACTGTACTAATTAGTTTAATGTAATCTTAAATAAAGCAAAAACATTAATTGATGATTTGCTATATCTAGTACTTACCTAGAAGAATCCTGCCCATAACTCTCACTTTGGGTCTGGTTATAACCTTCTGAAAAAAGAAAAATACAAACCAGTTTCAAAACCATTTTAGTTTCCACTTTATTTTATTGTCCAAAAATGTGTACTGTTTGAAGAATTTGTACGCACCTTGCTGTCCGTAATTCTGCCCTCCGCCATTTCCTTGTCCGTAATTCTATAAATTACAAGTTTCATTTAGCCATTATGTAACCAAAATAGTTTGAAAAAGTATTACATTGAATATTTTCAAGATAAGTTCTTACCTGCCCAGTTTGTTGACCACCATATGACCCATAGCTTAGGAAAAAGAAAGAGATTACCTTTCAGTTTGAGTGGGGGTTTATTTATTAATGTTTTTTTTATTTTTATTTTTTTTTTGGGAAAAGGCCTAACAATAAGAACAATATTTTGTGTTTTGAGTTTTTTTTATTTTGTTTTTTGGGAAAAGGCCTCACAATAAGAACAATATTTTGTGTTTTGAATGTTTTGGCATAAAAAAAAACACATAGTTCACTATGTCTGACAAACGATGTTTAGGCTAACGCATTAAAAGCCAATGATGAATGTCCGCTTAAAAATAACATTCAGACTTCAAGAAAAAAAAATTAAAAATCAAAAATCATTTCTCGAGACAATTCGGGATTATTATCCGTTTCTTACTGTGACGACACCAGATCACCAGTGTAATTAATATATGGCTTGGAGTACATGTGACTTTAAATTACCTTTGAGAACCACCGCCATACTGGCCGTATCCCGAATCTGCAAGAAAAACATCAACTTGAATTATGCTTGGTAAAAACAAGGATTATAATTACGTCTTTGTAGGATTGAAGAGGGTGCAAAAGAAAGTGGGTCAGGCCCTTCAATACGCCAGTCCTGAAAAATGGCGCTCTATTCGGTTTTGGTACAGCGTAAACGTTGAACTGAAAGTAAACGCGTTTACTTCAAATCTATTAATAACTAGGACATTTTCATTGCAAATTTCAAGCTCAATTGTGTTGAGGCATAACAAATTTCACTGTTTTCCACCCGCATGTATTTTAACGGAGAAAAGGGTCGCCCAGATAGAATGACAAACAATAGCATGAACGTAAACAAAGAAACCGCCGTTTTAAGAGGCGTTCCGCGACAAGGCAGCGTATTGTACCGAATATTTTATTTCAAAATAGCTTTGTTTTACGTGTGTATTCACATAAAACAGGTCTGCAGTAAAACAAGCCTTCATTTTCCCCATGTAAATCGCACAGGGCTCGGCTGCTGGGTGAGTTTCCATTAAATAGTCAGAGCCGGGGCCTTGCTGTTAGCTGCTAAAGTTAACACGAGTGCTAACCGACCCACTTCTTTACTCACAAAGCAAGCAAACACAGGAAATGGCAAGGTTATGACTTACCCGTGGCCATTATGCGCAGTAATTTGTATATGTCGACTAAAATGTAAACGAATTCAGTTTTTCAGATAAGTTGATTAAAAACCGTGTGAAACACGCACGCAGTGGAGAACAGCGCAAACCACTGCGGTACTTCCTCCGCTGCCTGCGACGTGCTTTTATCTTCTTCTGTTGGGTTTTAAGGGCGGTTAGCAGCCCAGCTCTGGCTTGTATTGTTGCCACCTATTGGACTGGATGTATTCAGCTAATGAAGTAAAGTTATGGTGTAACTGTTGCTATTTTAATTTCCATATTGACATAACATTTCTTTTCATTTTGTATAAGAGACTCATTTTGTGAATTGTCAAGTTATTTGTAATTTATGTTTTATGTGTAATTTTTGCATGTTTTTATTATGAAAGGCTAAGGGTACTTTATTTTGAAACCTACGTTGAGCTGTCAGGCCTGTGACGTTTGCCTAAC